AAAGTGCAACAAAAAAAAGATAAATCCTACAGTGCTTAAAATGGATGTCACCTTTTGGGTTTATTTCAGTTACTTAGGTTCTAGTTAGTTAAAGTTTTTCTGTTTTAGAAGGGCATAGTTACACATTTATATCAGATCATATCTTTCTCCTTGTGGCCTTAGCTGCTAATCATCCTTTCCTTGAGACACTCCATTTAACCCCCAAAGTGCCAGAGAAATAGGGACATTTTGCTGATGTTTTGCTGTTCCATCTGGGTGGAAAGCACTTTGCTGTTGCAGTAAGTGACAGGTTTGAATCTCAGATCAGCTGCAGCAGATCCAGTGGATTGAGGCTGAATCCTCAAGGATTTGGTGAGGGATTCGGCTGCATTTGGCTTCCTGGACTGTAACCCAAAGCGGTAAGAATATGAGTTGGCCTTCTGCTGGGTTTGGAAGATGGTATGTGGTTGAGATAAGAGTACAGCTTCTTTAAGACTATTGGTAATGAATAGGTTTTGTGGTTAATGTAAAGGTTCTGCAGTGATATCCAGTCGAATCATTAGAATCTTCTCATGAGCCGATGAAAGTACAACATAGTCACATTTCCTAGAAATTAAATTGTTCCGTTAGATCAGTGATTTTTCAACTTTGTTCACATATTGCTTGAAAAAAAGTCTCTTGTTGAACCTCTCCGAAATTGTCAGCAAACCCCAAGTCTGTCTTGGCCAGAGCTTGGAAAGAAGTGTTAGTGTTTGTCAAAGTTAATTCAAAAAACATGGCTTGGGAAATGAAAAATCCTATAAACTGACATTTTGGCTTCTTACCATGACCCACTTTTGCCTTCTTCCCTCCCTCTGTTTCAAAGGGATTGTGTCTGTGGTTCGCGATACCTTCGTTCTTATTTTAGCCATTCACACTGGTTTAAATGCACACATTTTCTGGCTGAGGTCTTGGAATTCTTGAGGAATTTGGGCTTATTTTAAAAATTAGCTTGTGTATTTTGTTAATGGCTATAAGATGCTTACTGGGTCTGTTTGGTGGAATCCATTAAGAAATGGCAGTTAGGACTTTGTGCTGTATTGACAGCTTTGAGTCATTCCTGCCAACATCTGCATCCCTCACTGGGTTTTAGCTGCGTTGCTCTGGGGGTTTCTGTAATTTTCCTCTTTCTGAGGGACACCCGAGAAAGAAAACATTCCCCCAAGTGGTTGCTGCAGCATTTCATCGAGGAGCCTTTTCCACTGCGTTGGGGAGGGCTCCTTTCCCACTTGGCAGCCTAGCGCGGATAAAAGAGCTCCTCTCGGCTCTTTTCCCTGTGTTATCGTATGTCCTTCAGCTTTTCACTGCGGGCTTGCAGCTTGGCCTGGATTGCCATCCTTCCGAGGGTGTCCTTTCGCTTAAGGGCTGTTTGTTCTCCCCTGCACCAGCAGTGAAGGATTCCCTAGAATCGCCTTGCTTGGGAATGTCCAAAGCTCTGTAAATATTGTGACTTAGAAATGCTCCTCGGTTGGCTGGTCAGAGTGTGGGAGCAATTGAGTAGCATCCTGGGAAGACCTCGGAGGAGACTGTCGCAGAATTAGTAAGGAATTGATAGTTAAATATATTGATATTGTAATTAATATTGTGAGCATAAATGAACAATGAAGTATTTTCCTTCTGCATTCCTTTCTTCATGGCTCTCAAAAGTATTTAAGGAAAAATTGAGCCAGTTATATCCTGGGAGATACTTATTTTTTATTTTTAATTACCACACTAGGAAATCACTGTGTTAAAAGGATTTACGCAAAAACTATCAGCAAATCAATGCTGGGAAGAGTATCCAGATTTTGTCCTGTATGTAGATAGGTTTTTTCCTGCAAATGTTTTAAGCCTTGGTAAGTGACTTTGGTTGCTTTTTTTTCTTTTTTTTCTTTTTAATTTTATCAAGTGGTGGTTCTCCCTTTCACTATCTCCTTTGGTGGGCTGAACTGAGCAGCTTGCAGGCTGCAGCGTGGGGCCCGAGGGTATCCGTCAGCGTGGAAGTGCTTTGATGCATCCTCCTGTCTGGTGCTTTGCAGAGGTCAGTGGTTCCACCAGCCAGCGTCTGGGGAGGAGCATTGCTAAAGATCTGCACGTGCATCTTGTTTCCATCGCATTTCCGTAGACATTAACGGTGGTAGTGGGTCTGGCTGGGGTGCGGTGGTTGGGGTTCAGATTCAAGTGGGAGACTGAACAGGTCAGTTTTCTGCATGTTGCTCATTCATGACAGTGCTACTCCACAGCGATTAACAAAAAGTTAATACCGGCTGATCCTTTAAAGCTTTCTATATATAGGGTCTGTCGTTCCTTGTAGTCTTTTAGGATTTGCAGCACAGCTATTTTGGAAGGACTTCTTTCTGCTTTTCAGAATCCCTTATTTTAGTTTCAGATCTGGTTCTGAGTTCTGTAATATACTTTTCCAAAGATTGCTTGTCACGTTAGGCTACCTGCCAGGCAGGGGTTTGCCTGCGGGCTGCTGGGGCCACCGAGGGTGGCTGGTGACTCGGGAGCCCGCGGTGGTGCCAGGCTGTACATTACTGAACTGTTCCATATTCTTTTTTTTTTTTCTCCCTTCTCGTCACACAGTGGTTTGCGTTCACTTCCCAAGAGGTTTCCTGGAAACCTAAGCTAATTTTTAAACAATTCCGGAGTAGATGCTATGGGAAATGACAGTAATACTTTCTGGTTACTGATGTGAAGACTGAGAACCTGCCTGTTAGTGTTCTGCGCTGAGAACCAGTGCTGGCTGTGCTGACCGACGTGTGGCAATGAGATCCACGTGAAGGATTCTGTGACGCTGCTCCAGCGTGCTCTTATGTGTGCATAAAATATTCAAGGCTAGGCACAATGTGTTTGTGGATCAGTTGCATGTTGTAAAAGTCGTTCTTTCTGCATCTCTGATCAAGTGTGTATTTTCTACTAGCAGAAGTTGGTTTTTTTCTAGTTTGAACTTCCCATGGGAGTTTTCTGGACCTGCATTTCTCTCAGGCATCAGGTTTAGCATCCCAAATCTTTTGCTTCTGGGGAGAAGTCACCTGGACTCTGCATTGTTAAGTGTTTGGGGGCAATGCCATCTGCAGTTTTGGCATGTATGATCCACTCGCCCATATCAAGGACAGCTGGGTATCTCTGTAGAGGAAAGGGTGGCTTGGTGCTTGGCATAACCTCCTTTAACATGAAAATTCCCATTGCGAAGGCAGTATTTCTACCCCAAATACAGGCATTTAGGAATAGCTGCAATTTCATCAAGTAAATTCCTTTGCCAGCTTGCTTTCATCAGACCTCCTGAGTTCCGTCTGGAGAGCAGAGCTGCTGTTTGGGGTCCTTGGTGGGCTGCAGGAGTGGGTCAGGAGCTCCATGAAGGTCAACAAAGACTTTTACTGAGAGTCTCAAAATACCAAATGTGCTTCCACCTGAGCCGAGCAGTGCCATCGAGGAGCTGGCATTTATCCCTCTAAGCGCAAGGACTGAAAAGCCAAGTCACTATTTTGCTTGTATAGAAGCTGTTAGACCAGGAAAGCTGCTGTTCCTCTGAATGATGTGTGTTCGCCCTGCATCCTGATGGTGGATTCTCATTCTGGTATCGCTAGACTCTCAATAGTAGCAGCGTAAATTGTTGCTACATGGCTGCTGCTTGGAGGATGAAGCCCCTGCACTAAAGTTCAGTTGCTACCTTTTGTCACCTGGATCACTGCAGTGTCTCTTTCATTACAGACCTTGTGCAATTTCTTTTTATTGTCACCTGCTGCTTAATAAAAATAACTTTATTTACCTCTAGGAGCAAGCTTTTATGACTTGGAGGATGAGTATTGCTCTGGGATGTTGTAAAAGACCAGTGAATGGTTGGGATGGAACACAAAATATAGTGTAAAGGGGAGAAATGTTAATTAAAGGCAGGCCAGTAGACTTGTGGGTTGAAAATATCTTTTTGGTGGAAGGTAATGGTATTCGGGCAGGATTTTACTTTGGAACTGGGTAATGTGTTTCTGCTCTGGTTCCTCTGGCAGTTGATTCATTTATATTGAGTGTGAAATGCCCTAGTGCAGGTATGGCTTTCTAATCTGCTTTTAAATGTTCATTATTTCTGTAGCAGGTACCTCCAGATTTTAAATCATAATTAATTGTGAGCTGATAGGATCTCTGAGTGCGCTAAGCCTACTTCTGTAGTAAAGTCTGTACAGATATTTTTAAATCGTGCATTTGCCACATCCCTCCCACAAGCACAGATGTGATTGTTTGGAAAGAAGTGAAGGTCCAATATTTAAATATAAACATTGTGACATTTGCCTCTCTGAATTACTGAGAAATTCATACAAATAACTGTTGCTTATCAAAATGTGTAAATGGCAAAATCACTCGTCTAAGTGGTGAGGCAGGGAGGAGGGTGTCGGTGCCGTGGTGGGGTGGATGGCAGGGGTGACAGCCCCAAGTACCTGGACCCCCAGCGAGACTCGTGCTGCGTCCCTTCAGGCGTGAGGACGGTTGCGGGCACACATCTGCAGTGCCCTCCGTGTACAGCGTGCCCAAAACTAGAGTGACTCGGAGTATTTTCATCAGTCACCTTAAATCTGTGGGTTATTAATAGCGTTTGACATAATTTTCTTTTCTAGACACATAATGGAGGGGTGATCTCTGACTTCCCATCGGGGTAAGAGACCCGTGTGCCTTCCAGGGATGGTGGAACTCGGGGTTTGCTCAGATCCCTGGCTACACCATCTCCATCAAACAACTTTTTTTTTCACAAATCCTTGAAGCTAGAGCGCTGAACTGAGCAGGAGAAGGGACGCCTACTGCAGAAACATCTCGGGCTGCTTTTGGGTTTGGAACAGAGCTGGGACGTTTCTTCTTCATGAGTAGTTTTGTCAGAACTGTTTACCTAAACAGTGTGCGCCTGAGGTTTGGTGCTTCCAGATGATGAGTTCTGCTGCTTCTCCCCACTGCACATGCTAGAAATCTACAGAACTGGTGAAGGAGCACCAATTTGTCTTGTTTGTTTTCCGCAGGCAAAATACATCTCCCAGTGCATCGATGAGATCAAGCAGGAGCTGAAGCAGGACAACATTGCAGTGAAAGCAAACGCAGTCTGCAAGCTCACCTACGTAAGTGCCTTGCTGGGATATGGTGTCATCGCGTCTTTATTTTTCTCCTTCTTGCTGCCTAGGAGCTGCTCCTCAGTCTGGATGCTTGCTTTGCTTAGGCTGCAGTTTGTTAGCCACACGTGTCTGACGTCAGAGGCTGCATCTTCCCGTTCTGTTCGTTGTGCTGGCACTAGTATTGGTACAATTTTATTTTATTGAGATAGGTCAGGAACCTAATCTGATTTAAAACTAATCCAATTTAAAAAGTTATTATCAGCTGGATTGTTTCTTATCGCACGGTTGCATGAGCGCTTGAAACTTGTGTTTGTTTCTCTTTGCGCAGTCATTTGTCAAGGAGGGAAATACTGTTAAGGAATTATTTTTGTGGTTCTGTTCTGGATTTAATTTTAAAAATATCCAGGAAAGAAACCCTTCACAATGATACTTATGTAACTGCATATTTAGTACCTGGAATTAAGGCGAACTATTCAAAACTTGCTTCTGCTGGACTTTGAGACTTATTTCACTTACTGTGAGTGGCGTTGAATGTAACATTACTCATAAAATTGAGATGTCTTAGAGTATTCTTTTTGGACTCTTCTTCCGTCTTCAATTTTCTGAGGTATCTTGACCTATTTTCTTGAGTCTCTTATTTCTCAAGTTTGTTATCTTGGCTTCTCTGCTCACAGTTGCAGATGCTGGGCTACGACATCAGTTGGGCTGCTTTCAATATTATTGAAGTCATGAGTGCATCGAAGTTTACATTCAAAGTGAGTTCCCTATGTAACTACAACTGTTCTAGGCAAGCGTTTCACTCCTGTGTTTGATGAATGCGTCGGTGCGTTATCTTTTGTTTTGCTTTCTTCAATATGGGAAGAAAGGAGGCGCTTTTTTTTTACAGTAAATGGATAATACTTGGCCTGCCAGTATAGGGTTTTTCTACCACATGTTTGCAATAGCTGTCAGATAGGTTTTGTGAAAAAACAGGGTATTTTTATGTGAAAACCACTTAAGATTCCTGGTAGCAGGCATATTTTATTTTGTAATAATTTTTGTATCATTTTTCTTGAAAGGTTTTGTTCACGTTCTGTGTTGCAGACCTTTTTCACCAAACGGGGTGGAATGTTACTCCGTAAGGAGTATTTTCCAAATTGGTCTTTAGTGCCTGAAAGTCAGGAGTCAACACAGACAAAATAAGTGTAATAGTCTCCCTTTTTCCTACTGCCAGTCCTGCCTTCTTTCTACATCTTTGTGGTCGTTGAACCTGTATGTTGTAACAAAGCAGAGAAGGTGAACTAGTTCTATTATCCTTCAGACAGACGTATTGTCCCTGGAGATGTTACTTGTCTGAGATTCTTCTTTCCTGATATAAACCCCCTTTTCTAGAGAACCCTGTCATGCCTCTTCCGTTACGCAAGCCTTCTGCCTAATTGTTCATCTTTTCAATATTGCTTAGGAAGCTACTGGTTGGTTTTTCATCTAAACAACGTCTAAACTTTCCTTGTTTTTGAACAGAGAATTGGTTACCTAGCTGCCTCTCAGTGCTTTCATGAAGGGACGGATGTAATTATGTTGACTACTAATCAGATCCGAAAGGTAAACTTTTTACTTCAGTTCTTAATTTCTTCTTGTACTCTCTCCTGCTTGTATTTTCACATCTGTACAAAGTGTTTCTCTTTAGGAGGATAACGGTGTTTGGGTAGAGTTCTGTTGACTTGCTTTGCAGTCTGCTGAAGGGTTAACGAATAGTTAGGAGCTGGCCATAGGGTCCCTCTTGCTGTTTCATGCCAGCTCTGTCTGTTCATCAGGTGAATGGTGACAACAACGACCTTTGTTAATACTACTGGTCTCTTAGGCAGCCCTTAGGAGAACGTAAGGGGTAAGGAAGATGCACCCGTTCCTGAAGTGAGGGTCTGTTTTCTGGTGATAACAGATCAGGCTTGTGACCTGTTCAGTATAGCTGTGTGTAAAAATGGTGAGGAGTGTATGTAAAGTTGTGTTGTGTGTTAATGTGCTGGAGTGTGTTGGATTTGTTTTTATAGAGCTTTGTCACTGGAGTTTTTTCCAGAGTTACTAAGTTGCAGGTTTATTTTCATATCTGTCAGATTACAGATATATTTTTAAAGCTCATAAATTTAGTTTTTGAAAGTATCACTGCTTTAAAACTTGACTGATCCTGTACAAGCTGTGCCTACATTTTTACAATTTAAGTAGCTAAAATGTCTTTTCCTTGCTTAAAAAAGATCAGTGGGATGTTATCCAGTATCTTTCCTGAAGAACTGGTGCTTTTCCCTTGGTCTCTTAGACTCTTGTGCTCTGAGAAGTACATATTTCTAATGATGTCCATCCATTTTCTTTAATATGGAGATTTTATTACACTGAATTTCAGTCCCTCACTAGGCTATTCCTTCCTTTTTGGGCTTGAGTTTTTACTTAAAGGCACAAATAAAGCTGCTTTTTCATGTTTCCATTGGTCTAGCAACTTTATATTTCAAGAGGTTATCAGTTCTCAAAATACATTAAAGCCAGAATGAATTGCCAAGTTTGGTTGCTCCTTAAGAAGTAGATTTCATTATTCTTAAAGTAGAATGTGATTTCCTACCACCTGCAGAAGGTTTTCAAATGAGATGCAAATGGCACAGAGCCCCCAAGGCCTGGCTGTGTTTAGCTCTCCTGCCGCAGCCCCCGTGGACGCGTGAATCTGGACAGTTAATTCCGGTGGTTCACGTGGGAATGCTCTGTGCTGTTCACTTCGTGTTCTTGTTTTGGAATAACCGCAGTGAAGGATTGATCCTGTTCTGCTCTGTATGCAGTGAGGACTGGCTTTATAATCTGTACTTGAACATACTCAGATAGGAATGTTAATATTGTTAGGAGACCGAAGCTCAGAAAAACCTCAGAGACTGTGTAGGATACTGACTGCAAAGAAGTCTGAAGAAACTTGACCAATAAAATATATTCTATACCCTAGCTTGTGTTGTGTCTTTGTGGACTGAAAGTTATGATGCTGCCAGCAGCTTGGGAGGAAAGTAATCTCATTTCTCTAATAGAGGGAGTAAGGTAGGACACCGAAGCACTCGACAAGAGTGCCTGTTCCCAGTGAAGCTGATGACAGTTGGGCTTTGTCTTAGCAGGGTTAGTATTTCATACTGGGTTTTTTAGGATTTTAAACATGTTTGTGACCATGTAATGAGTTTTTAAAAATTATTTGCCACTCCTAACTCACTGCCAAGGTACGATAGCTCTAATTGCTTTTATGTTGCAGCCATCCATCTATTGTTTAATTACAATTCCTCATGCCTGTTATTAAGCCTCAGGCTGGCTGTATTTTAGCAGGTGTTGGAGGACGTTCCTGTTAATAGTTGATAGAAATATTCCCACGGAGTAGAAGCTCTGCGTCGTATCTGTTGAGTGAATAAAATTGGTCTGAGAAAATTGTTTTTCAACATCCTGTGTGATCTTAAATTTTTGAGCCTGTTTTTCCGTTTTTTAGGATCTGAGTAGCCCTAACCAGTATGATACTGGAGTTGCACTGACTGGCTTGTCCTGTTTTGTTACTCCAGATCTTGCCAGGGACTTGGCAAATGACATCATGACCCTGGTGAGTCGATAAGATGGATATCACTGTTTCGTATAATTAAAAAAATGTTAAATTGTTCAAATCTGATTGAAGAGGTAAAAACCTGTTAAATTTAGAACTGCTACATGTGAAAACCTTGTTCCTGGGGGGTTTTTGGGGAGCCTTCACAGACCTTAATTAGCTCAAGAGGATTACCTTGAATATTTCTGTTAGTTTTGGTGAAAAATAACAGTATTTTGCTCTCCCCTCAAAGATTACTTTTCTAAAAGTAGTTGAGTGTCTCAGGAGAAGATTTTGAGACAGTGGTGTGGACATAGGGAACTTGAGAACAACTCTGGAAACACAAATGTGCTTAGAGCCTGATTGCAATTGTCTCATTAACAGATGTCTCATACAAAGCCTTACATCAGGAAGAAGGCAGTGTTAATCATGTACAAAGTTTTTTTGAAATACCCAGAGTCCCTCCGTCCTGCATTTCCTCGCCTTAAAGAGAAACTTGAAGATCCAGATCCTGGTGAGTGGATTTTAGTAAATTACTTCTGCTTCAAAACATCTAGGTATACATGCTTTTAGAGCTTGTGGAGAGAAGAATATGTGACAAATGCTGTCCTCATCTTTTGGGTAACAGGTTTAATAGGTAGGTGAGCATATAAGAGTTTCGACAGATGTTGCCATATTATAAATACATTCTTTAAATGCACCAAAAATGCCGTACGCTTGTTTCAAGAATTCTGGGTGTGATGCAGTTCTCTGATCTCCAGTTGATTTGTGTGTGTGTTTAGAGGAAGAGACTAATTTGGTGTGGGCGCGCAGGATGCATCTTCCAGGGACAGTGTTTCTAAAGAAAGCAAAACACACTGCCCCCTCACCTGCACACAGAGGAGGAAAATACCTGGTATGATTCGTGGAAAAAAGGACTGTTTCACCAGAAAACCCAGGCTATCTAGACTAAAAAATTCCAAAATTAGATCAGTCAGTTTAGAGGCTGAGCAATTAGGAATGAACTTGTCTAGTCAGATTGGTTTAAGGATTCATTATTTTTGTGTTGTAGTTAAGTCTAAACAACACGTTTTAAAGAAATGAGAGTTTTGAAACTTTCTGGTGGGTAGGATTATGGATTATTGCGTTGTCTGTGTCCCACAAACAAGGTATCCACAGTAGGGGAGGAAGGATGCTGGCAGTGTCCTGTTCTAGACCCAAAGCAGATATCAGCTTGCTGATGTATTAGAAAGTAGCCAACATTAAATAAAATCCTTTCTTAGTTTATTTTTGCATTCTTGTGTTTTGTTCACTACCTCAGGCTGCTAATAAGGCTGAATCGTTCCTCCTGGACACAAGTTTGAAGCTTTAGCTGCTTTTGTTCTGGGGGTTCTGCACCAGAAACTTCAATTACAATTAAGGCGTTGATGAGATTTCTGCTTTTCCCACTTTTTTTCCCAGGTGTGCAGTCTGCCGCAGTAAATGTTATTTGTGAGCTGGCTCGACGCAATCCCAAAAACTACCTTTCCCTTGCTCCACTATTTTTCAAGTTGATGACATCGTCTACCAATAATTGGGTTCTCATTAAAATTATAAAACTGGCAAGTATTCTGGTTTCATATTTACAGGATTGGGGCTCTAATTAAGTTGCCTTGGGTGTGAAAATAGATTTCTTGCTTGGAGGCGTAGTTACAATTAAATACGAATAAAAAGAAACTGGGAAAATCTTCTAACGTTTGTGAGCATAAGCAAAGAGAAAAATATTTTAATATAGCTTGGTTTCAATATAACGAGCTGCAATTTAAATCATGTTTTTATACTATTTAAAAGCAGCTATTAAATGACTTTCTTGTCTGTGCTTCTTTTTTAATAGTTTGGTGCTCTTACTCCATTAGAACCTAGGCTGGGAAAGAAACTAATTGAGCCTCTGACCAACCTCATCCACAGGTATGTACAACAAATGGTGCTTCGTTCGTTCGGGATGGGTGAAGTGCCAGTTGGCTAGGTCAGCAGCCAGGTCTGTGGATGCATTTCTAAACTTCTTCTTGAGTCTCGATAGATTGGCTTTAAGTATCACATCAGGACTATTATTTCAGAAAAACCTGAGTAAGACACCTTTGGGTGTCTCAATGTCAGCATGAGTTTATCCAAAGCGAGCATGAAAATTGGAGCGGTTTGTTTTCTTTTCACTTTGCTTTATGCCAGAGATGACTATAGAGCATATATGAAAACTCTGGCGTGAAAAAGGCTCGGCTGTATATTTGCTGCTTCTGTTCCACCTACATGCATTTGCACATTTGGTTTTTGACTTCTTTGGAAGTGCCTTACACAACAAAACAGCATGACAAGGAGTATGTTAAAGTTCTTTCTCTCTCTTTGTCAGCCCAATCATGTTTTAGAAGAGGTTTCTTTAGTATATGTCCTAAATATAGATGAGATAAATTTGAAGATATTTTCTTGTCCCTTGTCAAAGCAGGTTTGTAGTGTTGGTTTGGATCTAATTCTGAACTGAAATCAGAAAGTGGATGTCTTGGAGGGACATGTATTTTCCCAGTTATGAAAAGGAAGTGTGATCTTATACATGAGTTGTTAAATTAAAAGGTTTGTTTCTCTTCATGTGGCAGAGCAAGGAAATAGATGGGAATGAGGAAATTTTAAGTGGATATCCATGTAGCCGTGAGAGCAGCTCTGGCCAATTTCTGTCCATCTTCCTAGTATACCTGTAAGGCTGGTTCAGAGCACACCAGCCAGCAGCCTTGTATCCAAATACCTAAAGAGGGGTTTTGCAGCAGTGACAAATTCCATACAAATTCAGCAGAAACACTACTTGGCCAGAAGAAGCAGGGAGATGAACCATGTGTCTTCAATCCTGCCTCTGCCAGTCCCCAACTCCCGCATTAGTCATTCATTTTATTATTTGTGAGAACTTAATCCTGGTCGGTTTGGTCTCCGTTCAGTCGTTTCAGATCTCGTATCACACGTAAGGCAAACCACCCTGCCAGCCACCACAAAATGGATAGGAAGTGAAAAAGATCGTTTTGGTTCCGAGTGCGCTAGAGTCACGTATACGGTGTGCTGAGTCCAGTGTCACTTCTGCCTGCTGCCTCCAGAGCTGTTTGCTCTTTGCAGACCTTGCTGCTGGAGTCTGCTCCTTGGCTGTGTTTCCCTCTTGTGTCGATCCTGGAAATCCTCAGAATTGCACTGTGTGGGTGTTCAACTGGCAGAAGGTGTCTTGAATTTAAGTTTAGGGGGGGAATCAGACATTGAAAATGGGTGGCTCACTTACAGGGATCAGCAGGCGTGTGCTCTTTGTGCGAGACTCCTTCACTTCAGAGAGACACGCTTGCAGTGCTCCGGCTGCCTGCCTTATTGTGAATTTTTGACCTTGGGCAGAAGATTTGATTTGATCCTTGGACAAGATTGCTTCAGTGCTCTGTAACTGGTAACGAGGTTTTGAGTAACCGCTTCCTTCCTCATTCCTTGTGTTACTGTGCTGTTACTTGCTGCTTCTCCGAGAAGATTATTTTTTGTTAAATACTCAGTAGCCCTTCCTGCCCCCCAACAGTTTTTAAGTCAGAATCATTTCATCTAGTTCAAAGGTATATGGAACAGAATACTGGCAATTTCTTGTGTAATTAAAGGTGTTAACTAGCTCCAAGGTATTGCTGACAGCTCTTCAAAATGTACTGGTTTTATTCCTTATTTAAATACTTGATTTCTGTTTCAGCACCTCAGCCATGTCTCTCTTGTATGAATGTGTGAACACAGTAATAGCAGGTGAGAACTGAAATTTGTAACCTAGAAAAAACTATGATGAACTTTGTCATTAATTAACACCATCTGTAAACCTTGGTTTTGTAACTGAAGTTGCCTTGCAAACTTTGATTTGTGTCACTGTGAACTGTAACTGAAATCCTTTGTTGTCAGTGACGAGGCGAAGTTACTACAGCTATCTTGTATTTGCTAAAGGCTGAGACAAAGTAGTAACTAAGAAGGAGTGATTATTTCTATGCAAGCTCCTAAGTGTTGCTAGAACTACAAAATATGCCAGCAGCAATAGAATTAAAGACTGATGCCTCATGGACACACTGACAAAGTTTTCTTATGTGCTGAAGGAGCAGATTTATTTTTTATGTCTACAATTTCATAGCTAAAAAACTTGATGCAATTCCCTAAAGGAGGTCATTGAGATAATTGGTTTACGGTTTCTATTTCTGGGTGGGGAAGGGATGTGAACTTCATCATGGGGATGGAGAGGAACAAAGGCACTTGGCACTTTTCGATCATGGTGTGGAAGTAGAGGGTTATTGACATCTGCAGTTCAGCCATAAGTCTTGTCTCTCGTGAGTGCTGTGGATAAGGATGCAGGAGCTTGCTGTGCTGGGTCAGTTCAGAGAGGCGAGGGTGAGCTGTCACTCACCTTGTGTTTATTCATTCCTTCGGGGAAATGTGCCAGGACATTATGATAGGGGGAAAAGGAGGTTAATTCTGCTGTGGATGAGGGTGTGCTCCTTTTCTGCTGTGGGGCTGTGCGCTGCCAGAGCTTCACAAATGTCCAGTATAGTCAAAATGGGACCTGATTTCTGCCTTGAGTCTTGCTGGCTTGATTAAAGCTCCAAGCTAATTCCATTAAACTCTAGGATCCATTGCTGCATCTCATTTACATTAGAGAAGTGCACACTTCAAAATTCAGCTGTAGAGTAACTGGTGACATATTTACAGTCTTGGCTGCTAGGCGATGTCAGTGAAGTAACCTTCACGAGAACAGAGTGTGATGAAGGCAGCTTGGACCTGCCTGTGCCAGCAGCTCCCACCTTTACACTCTTTTTCCTGCCCTGCTGTTGTTACTCGTAAGGTATATGAAACTACAGTTTCTGTAACAACCTCCTCTCCTTCCCCAGAAGCCCCAAAAGTCCAAGCAGACAGACAGACATCAACTGGCGTCTTTCCTTGTGCGCTGAGCTAGCTGGGGACCTTTAGGTGCTGTCCGGTTGCGTTCAGAACAGAATGACTCACTGAAATCTGTGCTTGTTGTTTCAGTTTTGATATCTCTGTCCTCCGGGATGCCTAATCACAGCGCTAGCATCCAGGTACAACACCGGGGTTTGGGGAGGGTTGGTTGTTCTGCCGGAACATGTAATACCGAGTGCCAGGGAGAAGTTGGGTTGTGCTCCTCTGCCAAAAGTTGCAGCGATAGCTCCCTGCAGCGCTCTCACTTAGGTGGGGTCCTGCAGACTGAAGCACTTCCCATATAAATTCTCTTATTTCCTTTGCTCTGAAATGCAGATTCTTCTCATTGAGAGTTTTCCTAACTCTCTTATTCAGCTGCTATGATCACTACAATCCTACAGAGGTTCCTTTTGGTTCAAAATCTGTTAATGCAACAAGACCCTCTTGCCTAGAGGCCCCGGCTCTTGGTCAGGATGCTTCCTTGTGCATTGAGTAAACTTTATAAAGAGTTACTTTAATTAAGACTTTTAAGGCTCACTCTTTTTTCCAGCTTTGTGTTCAGAAGTTAAGGATATTGATAGAAGATTCTGACCAGAACTGTAAGTATGTTGATTGTCTTCATGGAAGCTTTTATCAGCCAACACTGGGGAGAAATTGCAGCAGTAATGAGCTGTTTCTCCAAACAGCTTGTTCGGTATTGTAGAGTCTGGTACGTTGAAAGCAATTGCTGGGTTTTTTTATGTGTAAATAGTTTTTGATAGTGAGCACTTTTTAATAATGAGCTTTTTTAAACAAATGAGATGAATTATTACCGCTGTTTGTGGTTTTGTAAGTCTAAACCAGCTCCCTTTCCATGCTCTGGGTTTTTCCTTTTTTATAAGCTTGCTGCTTGGAAAGTAGTGAGGGGTATTCAGCAGCGTAAGCACAAGAGTAGAATGCAAGAATGCTTACTTAGTGACTACAAAGAGCACTGGGAAATCCTTTTTTTGTGCAAACCTTTTTCCTGCTGTCTGAATTTTTCCCATTGAGAACAGGGTTTCTACTTAATACGCCAGTCTTGAGTGTTTTAAAAGTTGTATTCATCCTAGAATACCTGTTCTCAAAACCTATAGTTTCTATATATTAGACACATTTTAAAATCAATGGTAAAAGTTGGGGTGCAAGAAGACTGTGATGAAGATTATATATGTAATTACGTGCCTGTATATGGGATTATGAAATTAAAGACTGTAATCTGTGATGCACTGTTTCTCAAAAATGCTTTTCCTCATCATAGGTTTTTATTCAAACGTATTCAAGTTGGTTTCAGTAGAAGCACTCAGTAGTAAGATTTCATGCTCAACACCAAACAGTGTTTCTATATTTGGAAAGAAGTTTTATTTTGTCTTTCACAGTGAAGTACCTGGGACTGTTAGCTATGTCCAAAATCCTGAAGACGCATCCTAAATCAGTTCAATCTCACAAGGATCTCATTCTCCAATGTTTGGATGACAAAGATGAGTCTATCCGACTCAGAGCTTTAGATCTCCTGTACGGCATGGTATGTTCCTGCATGCATTTCCTTTCCTCTCCAACCCTCGTGAGCCTTTAGTTTAGGAAGCTGATATTTAAGAAAAACCTGCAACTTTCTCTTCCCCTCTCCCCGGTAGCCTTGTGATAATAACTCCTGTATCTTTTATGGCACTTAGAACAAGTAAAAGATCTGGCACAACATGGGAGGGCTTTAAAAACTTTGGGTCAGCCTGGAAATGGTTTCTGAGTTCAGGCACATCTTGTAGTGACAACATTTGTTTTCTGAAAGGGCTGTGGTTCAACCCTTCAATAACTCTTTGACAGGTATCGAAGAAGAACTTGATGGAGATAGTGAAGAAACTGATGATCCATGTGGATAAAGCAGAAGGGACAACATACCGGGATGAGCTGCTGACTAAAATCATAGATATCTGTAGTCAGTCCAATTACCAGTATATCACAAACTTTGAATGGTCAGTGTCTTTATCTATCAACTTAAGATCATCAGCAATGGTGATGCGTGGCTGTCTGCTGATAAATTGCATCCCTTTCACTTCTTGTAGGTACATAAGCATCCTGGTGGAGCTGACCCGCTTGGAAGGCACACGACATGGGCATCTTATAGCAGCTCAGATGTTAGATGTAGCTATCAGAGTTAAAGCGATTCGAAAATTTGCCGTTTCCCAAATGGCCATGCTTCTGGACAACGCTCATCTCATAGCCAGCAACACGCAGAGAAATGGGATCTGTGAGGTGCTTTATGCTGCTGCTTGGATATGTGGGGAGTTCTCTGAGTAAGTGCACACGGAAAACCTGACATGCTTTGAGCAGCTTCTTTCGGGCAAAGATTCAGGTCACTGTAAAGTATTTTTGAGAGAAGGATGGAATATGCACCCTCGAGCTATCAAAATGAATGCTGCTTTCCTGCTCCCTCACCCTGTAAGACTCCTCAGCTGTTTCTAGCCAAGAGAGATACTTCATTTGGAATATCTGGTCTTTTTTTCTTGTCTCTGTAGTCCTGCCCACTCATGCAGAAAGGCATAATTGTGGGTATAAGACACCGAAGGAACTGCTTGACCATTAAGGTCTAACCCTGCTTATATCGTAGGGAAAATGTCCACTCACCACGTTTGGCTGCCTTAGTGTTTGCTCTCCTCCCTCTTGCCTTGTTGAAAGGTTTTTGCAGAACCTAATCTTTCTGAGGATTAGAAGTCATCTTTTTGTGCTCAAAACTTAGGTGTATCCATAGTAGCACAATTTTCAATGCTCTCGTGGCAAGAGTGTCGTTAGGTTAAACAGATGTTTTTGTCTCTTGGTTGTGAGTGCATATGCACGTGCTTACTGAGCTTTCACTCTGGGAAGTTGGACAGACCATGATCCTGTAGTCTCCCTTTTATCATCTGGTTTGGTGTTTTTTCTTGTAATTGCCTCTCTGAACACTGGTTCCAGTTTAAATTCACTGAGTAGGTGTGATATTTTTTAGGGAATGCTAATATGGCTCAGATCTTTATTGAAGTAAAAAAAATTCTACAAAGAAAACTGTAGATGAAGAAGCAAGAGAACATACTCTCCCCTTTCAGTTTGATCCCATTTTTACTTTGAAAGTTTTGCACTCATCATGGACCCGTAACTTTTTTGAACATCTTCCATTTTTTCGTGAGCAGACAGTTTTGAATAAGAGCATGAAATTATTGAAGCAAGTGTTCTTGCTTCCGTCTGCTTGCTTTTCTGTGTATTGAGCATTGCCTGCTAGATTTTCTTTTGTTCAGTAAAAGATTGGTGTTACAACCTCAGAGATGGGAGTGGTGAAGTACAGGACGGCAGGAAGGTTGTTGGGCTGCTAGATCCACACTGCCAATGGAGCTGCCATTTAGAAGGGCAATGCTTAGTTAATGGAGAGAATACCGAGCTTGTCAAGATGGAAGCTGAGGTGTCCCTCCCCTTCTGTAAAAGGATAAAGCTGCAAATTCTTCTGTGCCGTGTTAATACTGTAATTTGGAAGGGGAAAATACAGAGAGCAATTGGTTATGTATTTGTAGTACGTCCTGTCTTTCTGTAGTACTTTGTACTGCAGCCAAGTTTTTTGAAAAATTCTTCTCCATAAAGACTGAGGAAGTGTTGAAATTTCTTAGTTGCTGTCTTTCATCTGTCCACTTTTCATTACAGGCACCTCGAAGAAGCAAACCAAACTTTAGAAGCCATGTTGAGGCCTAAAGTGACAACCCTACCGGGCCACATCCAGGCGGTTTATGTCCAGAACATGGTGAAGCTCTACGCCTCCATCTTACAGAAGAAAGAGCAATCCGGGGAAAAGGAAGCAGCTCAGGAAATCACACAGCTGATGATTGACCGGTTGCCTCAGTTTGTACAGAGTGCGGATCTAGAAGTTCAGGAGAGGGTAAGAGAACAAAATTACTTTGGAATTTATCATACAAAGTCTCTCATTTATCTTGGAGCATATATGTCATTTTCTGTGGGCGTGCATGTTTTCTGTAAGCTGGTGATACCAGTGGAGTGGTGTGTTCGTTCTGGACTTCGTGTAGCTCAGTGGAGGAGAAGCTCTAGAAGTAGTGGACTGGGAAGAGTGGTGACGTCTCATGTCAGAGCCCAGACCTTATTCCAGTTCAATACCACCTCTGAAGGCTGCTTGCAAGAATTTAATGCAAAACAATTTAATTTTAAATAAGGACACAAAAAAGACACAGCTGGAAGAGGGGGTTAGCATGATTTTTTTTACATTTGCTCTAAACCTGCAGTTTGTGCTGCTTCCCTTAATTCCCTTAATGGAGGAGAACAGTTTTCTTCTGCTGACTTCCATTGCAGTTGATTTTTTGCTTCAGTTTGTGTTAACATTTATTCTGAAATTACTTCTGCATTTGTTTTTAGGCTTCTTGCATCTTGCAACTAATAAAATATATCCAGAAGCTACAAATAAAAGAAGTACCTGTAGCTGAGGAAGTAATAGCCCTGTTTGCTGGTGAACTGAACCCTGTGGCTCCTAAAGCACAGAAGAAAGTCCCAGTTCCGGAGGGGTAAGGTCTCGCAAAGCCTTATTTAAACTTTTAAACTCTTAAATAGTAAAGATAAGTATATGATGAGAAACACTGAAATACGCAGGGGTACTGAGTCAAGCTATTTGTTTGTTTACTTTAATTCTTACCAGCTTGGACCTTGATGCCTGGATCAATGAACCTCCATCAGACAGCGAGTCTGAAGATGAAAAGCCCAAAACAATTTTTCATGATGAGGAACAAAGGCATTCCAGACAAAGACAGCCAGAAATAGATGAAGAGGAACTGGCCAGAGTGAGTGAATGTTAAAATGCTTTTGCTTACATAATTCGGTAGTAATGTTGGAAGTGCTACTAAAGGAGTTGGAGCTGTTGTGGATTCTCTGTGTAGCCAGGGAGTCGTTCTGCTCTTTACAGCTCAGGAGATATGATGATTTGATGTGAACAAAATATATCTATTTGGATGCTGGTATTTTTGTAGGCATTGTGGAATTTATCCAATATAAAGCTCTCTTGGAAGTCTACCTTGCCTATCTTGTCCAAATGGAAATAAGATATTATAAAAACATGGCTCTTGTAAAAACCTGACCTGTAAACTGCATCTTGAGTTTGGACATTTGTGCTGAGCTCTGCAACCATTTGGGTTCTTTACACACCTTCTCCGTTGGTGTGCTTTTCTCTGTGTGCTCTGTATCAGCAGAAAAAGAGGCAGCACCTTCGCTCGTGGGCTTTAGAAGCTTCTGTGAATTACTGTAATGTGACTTCTCAGCAACAACCACCTTTCCTGCTTATGACCTTTTAGTTTTCATAGACAAAACTTCTTACTGATAAGAATCTTCACTTCTTCCTCTCTTTGCAAAAATGTAAATAGAAACATTTCAGTTGCCGTCAAAATCTGATCTTCAGGAAGTTACTATCGCTAGTCTGCAAGTAAAAAGAAGAGAAAGGGTGTTCTAAGGAATTTTAGTTATAGTAGTAACAGTACTCATAGTTATATCTTAGTATGTCTTGTAACTCAAAACTGATTTATCATACACAAGCTTCTATGCTGTAGTCTTTTTGCAAGTCGTTATGCATTGTTAAAAAAGTTCACAGAGATTGCATTTTGCGCTTTGATGCCTTTTATCTCTCTTTGCTTATAGACAAACATTCTAACTACAAATACTCCTTCACTTTTAGCGTCGAGAAGCCCGGAAACAAGAACAGGCAAACAACCCATTTTATATTAAAAGCTCTCCTTCCCCCCAGAAGGTGAGTGAGTCTGAATTAAAATCTCTTGCTGGCTTCTCATGTGGTTGTGGGAAGGTTCACTGAATGTCAGAGCTGCAGCTTCCCCCTGGGACATTCTGATTATTTCCACTGCAGTTCTGATCACTTCTTAGTGTGCCAGTTGGAGTGGCTACCTGCAACCATTTTTTGTAAGTCCTGTTTGTGTTGGGAAACTGATAAATGACCTCATATCACAAGAGCAGCCAGCTTGCTGTGACTCTCTGATGCACCTCCAGTTTGGAAATAAAGAAGTGGGAACTGGCACAACTCCCATTGCAGAGTAGTTTGGAACAATCTGGATCAGCTTGTCGTGGAAAGCGCAATGTGTATATTAGCAAGGACTCTCTAAAAGCCGTAGAGAAACTCTTTTCTGTGCCCCTGTGTCACCAATTCCTGTGCAGGTGGTTTGTCCCAGCTCTGGGTGCTGGAAGGGTTCAGGTTGCCAGGCACTCTGGTAAGAGTGATGGAGAGAGAGAGAACCTTCAACGTGCTCTCCCGAACATGCGGTGTGTTTTATGGATCAAAAGGTCATTGTGGTCTCTTCTTAACACCGTTCTCAGAGAAGGAACCTGCTCTGTTTCCCGTGTATCCTAAGGACTGCTGCATTTTCCTCAACTCCAATCTCAATGTATCTCTGAAGTGGCCAGTTATTAGCAATAAAACAAACCCAACATTTCTTCAGGCTTGCAACAAGGCTTCTTCAGTAGCAGGGTTAAAAAGCTGTAGCTAGCAGTAGGCTCTTTTGTATTAGTTATCAGCTGACTTGAAAATACACCCTGCTACCACAGCGGATTGAGTACTGAGCTATTCCATTCCTATCCCTTAAAATGTTCACTTAAAGGACTAAACTGCTTGATGTTTTGGAATGTGTCTATTCATATAAATTTGTGTCTGGCAATGCTCAGAATATAAACCATGCTCATTTTCCCAGCGGTACCAAGACACTCCAGGTGTGGAACATATACCTGTGGTCCAGATCGACCTTTCTGTCCCCTTAAAAGTTCCAGGTAAGTGCAGCTCATCTTGAAAATTCATTACAGAAGTTCAATTAAGCAAAAGTAATAATTACTTCCTAGGAGTTCCTCCTTAGCAAGGAGCAGACTTAGACTCTTAACTTTATGTTCTGAACTTACGTGTGTTTGAAAACAGTAGTTTGCAGTCTGAGTGCAGTCCCTTTCGAGACAGTATTAGAAGGGGTTCTGTGACTTTGGGCAGCAAAGTCTGTAACTATCTGCTGTTCTGTGTTGGGAACAGTCGCCTCTGGAATGTCTCCCAGGGCTGATGAAGGTTGATCAGAAGACATTCAGTGAGGTCTGATGGTAGAGATGCTGTTTCAGTCTCTTGTTTCAAATACCGAAGGGTAGTTGTACGTCTAATGAGTGGTTTGATGTAGCACTGAAACGCTGTTCGTGAGCTGCAGTACACTGCAAGGGATCACTTCAAAGTGCAAATATTTAAGGCTTACGTAGCAAAGGCTTTTCCGAAAGTGTGGAAAGTTGTCAATATTAGGGCAGCAGTTCTACTTAAAAATATTGCTGTTGAGATGCTCTTTGTAATCTAGTTAATGTGGGCAAGAATCAGGGCACAGGATAGAGGTCTGTCCAGTTTCTGGAGAGGTGGAGTGTGAGAGGAAAGCTGCTGCTAGAGGAGCTGAGCGAGGTAATGCAGAAACAGAGAGAGGTGTTGATCCTTATAATTGTGAGAAGCTAGAAGCAAGGTTCACTCCCAACGTATTGTTTTCAGTGATCAATGTCCATGTGGACTGTAGCCTGAAAGCAGTTTGGCTT